TTTCAAAAGATCTCCCCCCCCCCGCTCTTGCCTCTTGCGGGGTCTCTCCCTGCTGCTGGCTTTCCAGCCAGACCCCCTGACTGGAGACAGAATGGGGGAGGGAAGACAGGCTTGCAAGGGAGAACGGGCGGGTAGCAGCAGGGAGAGAACCCGCAGGAGGCAGGACAGGGGGAAGGTCTCTTGAATTTTTTCAGGACTCTGTCGGCTGGGAGCGCAGGGTGATGGGGCAAGGCGAGGAGGGCTCCGCACAGCCCTGACAGCCCCCCCTGCTCTCCTTTGCAAGCCTATCTCCCCACCCGCTCTGTCTCCCGCCACAGAATCTCTCCATGTTGCTGGCTTTCCAGCCAGGCTGGAAAGCCAGCAGCATGGAGGGACCCCGCAGCAGGAGACAGAGCCCCGTGGGGAGGCCATTTGAATTCCCTGGGCTCCTGTCTTCAGCCGCTGGGCCCCTCCGCAGTGCTAGCTTTCCAGCCGGGCTCTGGAAGACCGCACCGCCATTTGCGCAGGCGCACAAGCATGCGCGCAGGCGCAGACAACCTGTGAGGGGGTGAGTGCAGGGGGGGAGGTCTTTCTTGGTGGCCCGGTCAGGCTTAAGCCACGGACCAGCAATGGGCCATGGACCGGGGGTTGATGACCTCTGACTTAGAATGATAACATGGAAATAAATCATTCAGGCATATTCTCTGAGTTTTCTTACATTGCAAAACTATATATATTTTTACGTGAGACTGTACTTTTGAAAAGACTGAATGTTGGATACTAAAGACCTTATTTATGCATTCATATCATTAAGGGCAGTTCACATGACCAAGCATGTTGTTAGGTACCATCAAGTTGTTTAAAGTGTTATGGCAACCCTAAGAGAGCTTTCAAGATAGGTGAGATGTTCAAGGAGTATTTTTTTGGTGTCATACACAGGAACCTAACCCCAGTGTGTTTTCATGACTTAGGGATTTGAACCCAGGTCTCCAGAGTCCTAGTCTGGCAGTCTGTACGTTACACCAGTGGTCCCCCAACCTTGGGCTTCCACTTGTTCTTGGACTACAACTCCGAGAAGCCTTCACCACCACCTCTGCTGGCCAGGATTTCTGGGAGTTGAAGTCCAAGAACATCTGGAGGCCCAAGGTTGGGGACCACTGTATTACACCACACTGGCTGTCACAGTCTATTTGCAAATATTTTTCTTTTAAAAAAACCCTACATGATTCACATGCACAGGCTTTCCTTCTGCAGACTTCCAGGCAAAACGCTTGGGGAGCAGAATCAGGAGTGAAGAGGAAGGATTATTTGCTTTGCTTTGCTTTAGTGCACACTTGTTTCCACTTAATCATGGAGTCCCTTTTCTACACAAGGGACATGAGGGTATTTATAAATTTACATGAATTTTAGTTAGCCCTTCAATTCCATTGGCAAGGTGAGATGAAGCGACAAGCATGGCTTTATCTGGCAGGATCCACTTGGGCACTTGAAATGATGGAAGAAGAATCAAGTGCCCACAGACATGCCCACAATACCTGCTCCATTGGCTTGGGGGCAGGGAACCCACAGGAATGTTTGGGTGTCACAGGGGGAGTACAGTAGCTAGGGGAGGAAGAAAAAGAGGATATGTTGTTGCAGATGTCTGCTGAGGGGACTTTAACAGTGTAATGTGTGGCTTTTCTGGTCATTGCTAGAAAGTGGTTCCTTCCCTCCCAGCTATAGAATGTATACACAGTGGAATGCCCTCTCAGGTGATCTAAGTATAATATTGCAGGCTATTGTGAGAAGGGCTGGCTGCATTCAGCACATTTTAAATCTCAGGATTTTTCTGAGAATCATGCTCCCACCTTTTTGGAGTGGCTTGTGGTTGATGACATGAATCATAAACATGCCATATTTCACTTTGAGGTTCATCCTTATCACGGACAAATTTCTAGGTTAAGTTGCTTATATGGTCTGTTTGTTTATGGATTTTTTTTGTACTACTTTCTAATAAAAGTTGACAGCATCTATAAATTAAAAAGAGGGAGAAGGAATATAGATTAAAAAGCAGTTCTAATATATAACTTACAGCAGAGAGAACTTAATAAAACCAAATAGTTTTTAAAAGTTCAAAAGCTTCTAAGAACAAGCTGGAACAATTTTTAATAGGGTCTTTGCCAAGTATCAAAAAGGATATGACAGTGGACAAGCATTTGGTATACTTGACAGAGCGGTAGTGATATGTATTCAAACTGCTTAGACCCAGTTAACAATCTTGCAGTTTTTTTAATAACTAAAGTTTAGTTTCCAACGACAGCTTCACATAAAACACAGTATTCCAAACAGATTTCCAGAGCTTGCATAATGCTTACTAGGCTCTCTCTGTCCAAGTAAGGTTGCAACTGGTTTATGAGCTGAAGCTCTTTCTTCAGTTAAGGGGGAAGAGCCACCCTGTCCCTATACTGTTGAGGGTTCTGCAAGGTATTGTGCTCTCACTTGTTATTACTTAGTCCATATGGGAACATTCAGAGAATTAGTTAAAACAAGGCAGATTGTGGCCTTGGTGCTGAATGTTTTAGCATACAATTTTTCAAAAATTTTTGTTATGTGCTATCATGATACATTTGATTTATGGAGACACTACCCTGTTTCCCCAAAAATAAGTCCTAACCTGAAAATAAGTTCTAGTATGATTTTTCAGGATGCTCGTAATATAAGCCCTACCCCAAAAATAAGCCCCAGGTAAGTGAAACCCCGCCCTCTACCATTGGGAAGAAGATTACATGACTGTATTTGAATAAATATAGATTGTTGTACATGAAAAAAATAAAACATCCCCTGAAAATAAGCCCTGGTGCATTTTTGGAGCAAAAATTAATATAAGACCCTGTCTTATTTTTGGGGAAACACAGTGGTAGGATTTCCCAAGGTATGTGAGATTTTAAGGAGTCATTTTACCAGTGCCACTGCCACAGAGAGTTTCTATGGTCAAGTTGGAATTTGAACCGAGGTTTCCTGAGTCCATCACTCAAATCATGCACCACTGTGTCACTCTCCGCAGCAAGATGAAAATCCAAACATTAAGGAAAAGACTTGAGCCTTTCTGAAAATTAATGCAATTTTAAAAACTTCACCTTAATTTTTAGAAAGGCTTGAACTTGTTATTTAATATTTGGCCTTTTGTCTTGTTTTTCTCTTCTATATTTAGAAATTTACACTCCAGCTTATATTTCTTGGCCTTGTGCATAAACTAAATATTGAAGCTTCAAACAATGGGTACCTAGGTTTTCAAAGAAAGACTTGATGAAAAAATACAGCTAAATGATGAGGATGTTAGCTCTCCTAAGCTTGCAAAGATAGTATGATAATGAAATTTAGGTGATTGGTGCAAGCAGGAGGCAATTTGAAAGAAGTAGTCCTAGATTGTATTTCTTTGGATTGGCTATCAGGCAATTTATCAGACTGTTTCTGATCTCCTTGTGTTATCTTTCTCTTTAATTTAGGAGCTAATTTTGTGACTCGGAAAATTAGCCGCTCTGTCGCTAAGATCCACCTTGGGCAACTGGAATGTTTCAGTTTGGGCAATCTGGATGCCAAGAGAGACTGGGGTCACGCTAAGGATTATGTTGAGGTATGCCACTGGCTAAATGTTTTTTTTAACATAATGCTTTGGTTGCAGCATGTTTTAAGAAAATAGGTGACTTTCAGGGATATATTTCTCAGTGCAGCATTTATTTTAGTTTTTCTAGAAGTTTGTATCCTAGGATTCTATTTCATGACTCACTTTAAGATTTGAATATTGATTGTTATGTTTACTGGGAAGGAACTTCATACTGGAGCACATGTCCTCCAACTCTCTGCCAGCATCCATATTGTTTCTGTGTTCTTATTATATGACATAATGAGATCAGATATTTCAAACACAGTGAAATCTTTCAAAATCTTGCTCTGTCTTGGTGTTTCTTACAGTGATCATTAAATTTGTATTGCATGTGTGATTATATATACAAACCAGTCAATTTGAAATAGCTCTCCAAAAGGAAAGATTAGTAGGAATCCCTGAAACTGCCCAAGTGACTGGCAGAAATGCTTCATTTAGAACAGAAATAATGCAGAATAAACGCAACAAATTCAACACAATGAGCAGTTGCAAACTGTAGGTCCTATGCAAACAACATGTTCCTAAATCTAGGTACAGGCAGGAGATATAACTGGGTTCAAGGATGAATTTCACCATTACTCCAGACTGTTTTCTTCACAGCGCAATCTTCTCTCAGAGTAATGTAGAATTTGGATGTTTTTCAACTTAAAATGCTGTGTATATGTGTCAATACAACGTGGCTTGACTTCATGTGCAAATATTTAGTTGCACTGGAAATAAGAATGTATTTTATTTAAAAATACTGCTTTGTTTCCAAATGTGCTGGCCACCAGATATCATGTATTCCGCTGGGGTCTCCACAAAGAACACATGTTGGTGATGTAAGTAACATTCCAGATATTTCATATGTTTGGGGGGTATCCCAAAATTGTTCTGAAATAATTCCTAACTGTGCTAGAGTCTTCTTGAATAACTCCCTGAAGTTTAACTCTTCTGCTTAATGCAGCATTTTTAATTCCTCACGACTCTGAAGATGTGAAATATAGCTAACTCCCAATTATAAAAGATGATAACTTCAAAGTGGAAGTAGGACAATTTCTCCAGAATTCAATGGAGTGGAAAGCTACATTTCAAAATATAGCTTGCGATATAGTTGCAGTGGAGTGCAGCAAACCTAGATATATTTTATTTAGTAGAAGGGCCTTTGGTAGCCTCTCTGAATTTAAGTTAGTATATAGTTTTGGTTGGCCTTGAAAAGTATTCCAGATATGACATGCAGAGGTATACATGTTTCAGTGTTTTTCAACTGAGCAAGAAAAAGAACATGTTGCTACATAATATGTGAACATGAAGAGGCATTTCTATAGGAAGAGGTTCTGTACATTTGAATGTGGTGCATATATTTGAATAAATACTGTAGTTAAACTACCTTGGATTAAAAGCCTGAAAAGGTTTTGAATTGCAAGACATTTAGGTTAATGCACACATGAGCACAGGATGGGCCATATGTCAATCTCAGGGGCCTTTCATCCAGTCCCAGGTCTGTTGAATTTACTTAACTTGTTGAATTTTGTTGCTTCTGTGGCAGTTTTCTTCCTGTGCTGGACTGAACATCCCTCTTCTTTCCCACCTAGCATGGAAGGCAGATGAACTGCTAATAAAGAGACGAATTGTTCTATTGCTGTTCTACTGGTTGACTTTCATTCTCTACTAGGAGTATCTGTATTCTTAAGAAGGATGGAAGGGAAGCTAAGTGGAAAATATATCAGCGGAGAGACCTGGAGGAAGTGAGACTGGCCAGGGGTCAGAGTATGAGTGGGGGATGTGGATGGAAGGGAAGTGTTTGATGGATATGTGAGTGTGAGTGTGAGAGAGAGCATAAACAGATGGTGGATGAAGAACAAGGAGAGGAAAGGAAAATGCCATCCTTATATATCCAAACAATGCCAATCCCAGTTTCTTCCCACTAAGGAAATGTGGCCTCTGTTTCTTGTGAGGTTGCTTCATCTAAGTACACTGTGCATGTGAGACTTCAGAACACAAATAGGAATAACTGATACCTTTCTATTAAAGGTTGATCAGTAATCCTAGTTATTAAACTTAATTTGTAACTCATAGAAATTACTATACATTACAAACTTCTGATCCAAAACATAATGCCAATGTGTTTTAAGTAATGTGGCTTTATGCAAGTATATTTAGATTATACCACTGTGGATGGGGAGAGTTAAGTAATATATCAGTAGTGCTGATATATGAATCTTCTGTGTCTTGTTTTGTTCTCTGAAAATAATTTATTCCTTTTTATTTGGTGCAGTACAGTACAATAAACCATCTGGTAGATAAGTTCTAATACTTGTACAACAGTAAGGACTTAGCAGCCAGTGATTCATTGTTACACAATATAAAAGGGGGGAAAAAGACATGTTACAAATATCCTCATATACTCCCAAGAGAGCTCTATTTCAAAATAAAATAGATTCCCACAAATATTTAACTTGGAGCAGTGAGAAAGTACTTATCAACCCATTAGCAACGTTTTATTTCTGAGGAACCAAATACTAATAATGCCAAAATCATGAATAGATAAATCTGCAAACATATTTATTTCTAACATTTTAATGAGATTGTGCAAATATGCAGTTTTATTAAAATGTTTATGTGGGAAAAACACTGTGATCCATTCCCACAATATTTGTATACCAGACTGCCCACGTGATTTTGGCTGATGAGTTAATGGCCTACCTGATTGTATATGTGTTGTGAGAGAACAGGGGACGCTATGTAGATCTTCAGCATCTTCTACATTCCCACTTAGTTTCCATGCGTAGAAGCATATGTAGCACAGCTATTACATTTATATCCCTCCTTTCCTCCAGTTTGATCATTGTAGTATACAAGGCAGTCCTTCTCCTACTTTGTCATCACAAACCTTGTGAGGTCAGTTTCGGTGTGTGTGACTGGCCCCAGGTCACTCACTATGCTAATTGCCAAATTGAGGGCTTGAGTTCGAGTGTCCCGAGTCATAATCCAACATTCTAATAACCACACCAAATTGGTGCCATAACATATGCTGGGAAATCATTGGTCAGGAATAACCTGATTTCACCTGATATCAGAATGACAGCTTTTTAATTACAAGAACTACTGCTTCCTCCTCTGTGGAATGCATTAATTTTCTCATGGTGACCTTTCATAATGTTAACCTTTCATTATTATTAAGTGCTTTAAGAAAATCTTGACTAGATTCTTGTCATATATAACAAGGTACCCTTTTACTCATTGTCCCAGCATATTTCTTTGCTCTTAATTAGATATCGTAATACAGTGCTTGTCTTTTTGACTAACACTGAGCTGTGGTTTAGAGCTACATGAAAGAGCTTCAGAATTCTGTGTCTCCTCCTCCTTTCTCCCTCAAGCAGGCACAAGATTTGAAGTCAAATACAATTTGTTGTTATATCTAAAGACTAGGCACATTTATAGTTAGTTTTAACTGTAGGTTTTTCAAATAAGCCACGTGTTACAATCCTAGCCTGTTCAAATGCAGCATAGTTAAAGCTAATTGTGGTTCCTGGTTCAAACAAAATTATAAACTACAGTTAGCTTGAAAGCCGTTTCTGATCTCCAAGCTAGAATAGAAAAGAGAAGTGAGGGACGAAGCTTGAACATGTAGCACTAAACTATGGTTTAGTGTATGTCCAAATGAAATAATTGCATGGAGATTGGTTAATCCAGTTTCAAAACTACCCACTTTGAAAAAAAAGTCATACGAAAATGAATTGAAAGATTTTTTGGGGAGGGGAATTTATCAGGGATGGGCAACTTGTAATCTACAATGTTATTGGAGTCTATCTTCCTCATCACTTAAGCTGTTTTTGCTAGGGCTCATGGGAATTTCTGTTAAACAACATCTGGAGGGCTACAAGTTTCATACCCTTGCTGTGAAAAGACATTTAAATGTTGGTCAGTTATTACATCTGTGTAGATAATACAGCTTACAGAAAGATTCCCTGAGAAGAGCAGCATAACTGAAACACATAGGCAAGAAATGCTTAATATAACCTTTTCAGAGATTTGGATTACTGCATTAAACAATTCCTTCCATTGCTCCAATAAACTATTAAGTAGACATGGTCTAGAGGGGCGGGGTATTTAATGAATGAATGAATGAATGAATGAATGAATGAATAAATAAATAAATAAATAAATAAATAAATAAATTGTATTTGATTCTTAATTTGACAGACCCTTTTTGAAAATGATAATAGGATGGGACAAATACTTTTTTTAATACAAATAATACTCTTATTAATTGAAATAAATAAATAACTTGTATTTGATTCTTAATTTGACAGACCCTTTTTGAAAATGATAATAGGATGGGACAAATACTTTTTTTAATACAAATAATACTCTTATTAATTGAAACTGATTAAAACCCAGCTAATCAATTGCATACGATTTGTATATTATCCAATAATATTTTTAAGGATTGTAGGGAAGAATGTGAAGTTACAGTTCTTTTGCACCCTTGTATAAACGTGTAAAATACTACTTTCAAACTGGTAGATCCATCAGTTTGCTTACTCTCCTGTTTCATGCTAATGTTAAAAATAGTTATTTTAATAACATGTTAACACATTATTTAGAAACTCTGGCGTCATATGAGAACATTTACAAATGTCATATTCTGCTACTGGAAGGTTCCAGAAGAGATGGTTTTACAGTAAAACGAAGTGCAGAGAGCCCCAGTCTCTTATCCTGACATACAAAAAGAAAAGCAGAAGAGACTTTCAAACAACATTCCGTTTTGATACCTTTTCCCACCTTGTGCTCCTTTTTAGGGGTGTTAGAGTCTCCATTGGGTGGTGGGTACTGGAAGATTGTTGGTCATCCTTTCATTAACTATGATTAATAACCAGTGTGTTTATTCTTTCTGTCTTCCCACATTTGGACCTTTTCACATTATGGATGCAGATCCAGAATAGAAGCTCTACTAATATTGGCAGACCTTCCACACCACATTTTCC